TTCTAAATCCATGGTCCTTTAGGTGGAAGGGAGTTCTGGTGGCCTACTGGGTAAGGAGCTGTGCTGTCAACCCAAAGGCAGACAACTCAACTCTTTGAAACTTCTGCTGTTGAGTCAGAACCGAGTAATAGTTGCCCCTCTTGAGAGTTTTCAGGGACTGTAAATTGAAAGGAGATTGTCTTTCTTCAGTGGAGCAGGTAGTGGATTTGAACACCCTGCCTTTGGGTTGACAGCACAGCTCCTTCTGCCTAATTATTATTATGCATAATAATATTATGCCTAAAGCATAATATCATAATGTATAATAACGTAACATAAGCATGAATGTCTTATGGGACTTCTAAAGGGGAAAACCTGACTCCTGAATGCTTGCCTTCAAACTGGCATTTCCTGATCGAGGGTCCAGATGAGTCAGGGTTGATTTGACTGCAGTGGGAGTGTGAGAGAGAATTTATAGCTTAAATCTATGGGATCTTTAAGGCAAAGCATTTGGGAATGCAAATCCAATCCTCCCATCTCGCTATATATATGTGAGATAAACTGAAGTTAAAAAAAAAAAGTGAAGTCCTGCAAATACTCCTGGAGAGTAGTAGAAGAGTTGAGACTGAACTACAGATCCCGGCCCAAGCATACAGGTTCAAATCTCAGCTCTGCCACACATGAGCTGTATGGCCTTAACCTTTGTGCCTCAGTTTCCCCATCTGCACACTGGGATGATACAGTACCTGAGACGTATGAGTGGGGAGAGAATTAGTGCCTGACACAAGCCCAGTGTTAAGTTCTTAACGTGAATATATGTTGGTCAGTAGGAACCTATTAAGTTAGAGATTTAAAAAAGTTCTATTAAAGCAAAACGTAACTTCCCATATGAATTATTTGCAACTTAAACTTGAGATTGATGAAAATATTTCACTCAGATTCTGGGTAACTGTAATACTGATGTTAGGATTCTCTATTTACAGCCCATGTCTCACACCATCTGGTCTTTAATCATCAAAGCTCCTCATGGGGCTTTGGTCCATGTGCTCAGAGTGCTGGGTGCTCAGTTGAGATCAGAAAAGGTGATATGGTGGTGGATGCAGGAAGCCAAATTAGCACAGAAAAGACAAGACAAAGTTCATTCATTCATTCATCTTCTCATTCATTTGTCCAGGCTGTCTATTCACCCACACATTTGTTCTCTCGTTTCACGTTGCAAACATTTTCTGAGTACTCACCGACTGCTGGGCACTCAAGGGCATGGTCAGCATATGAAAGGAAACTCAAAGATAGAGATGAGGGACAAAGAGCTGCTAGTGAGATGTGGAAAGTCACATAGGCCAGAAGATGGAAGGGACTCCTTGCAGGAGGAAGAAGGGTGAAGCAGAGTGATGGAGGAGGATTTGCATGGACAGGGTACGAGGAGACCCCAGTGGGGAGAAGGTGGATTGAGTAGGGTCTGAGAGGAGGTCAGCCTGTTAGAAGAAAGCTATGGTGAGGAGGAGAGAGGTAAGAGGGAGAGGTAAGAGGGGCCCTTGAGCTCCACTTTGGGTACCTAATGCCTCAGACCCACTTCAGAGAGAGCCCCTAACCTCAGGTACCAGGAGACTCCAATTGTTATCTGCCCCTCCCAATTTTTGGACTGCTCCTTGCCTTTGGAGAAGGAGGCAGGGCCACCAGGGAGTCCCCCTCCCTTCTAAGCAAACTTTCAAGGTCAGCCCAGCAAAGGCAAGCCTGGCTGCTGCTTGCCTCCTCTATCTGAAGACTTGGGGGAATGTTTTCCAGTTCCTGGCAGGGACTGTTCTGGCCCCAACCTCAGGCAACAGCTCACATGCTTCTCTCTATCTCCCATATCTGTCATCTGCTCTTGGGCCCTAAACTCTGAAGCTGGTCAGTTTCTTCCTGGCCAGCAACTATTCTGACCAGGTGTGTATGTGCCATTTTCTAAAAGGCAGCTCAAACTATGTTCTTCCCTACAGCCCTCTGCTATTTGAGAGAAAGTCCAAACCCCTCTTTTTTCTTTCTTTCTGGTGCCCATGTCTCTCGGCGCCACTTGAGGGTGCCCCCCAAACCCCTCTTTAAGCTCCTATCAAGTTCTTCAGCCTCATCTAAAGGACCCCAGCCTCATTTCACTCTGCCCTCACTCCTGCCTCCTTCTCTCTAGTCATGCTATTCCCCACACACCAAAACTACCACTCACAGGTCGGGACCAGGCTCCCTACTACATCTTTACTGTTCCCTTCAAGCTAAGTGCCATCCAACTCACCTCCATTTGTCAAATCCCTAACCATCCAGCAAGACCTAGATGCAACGTGGCTTCTTATATTTCTGATCTCACAGCCAGATGGAGTGCTTTCTTCTGGCCTCCTCCAATTTTCTAGGTCAGCTACAGCTATGGGCTCAGCCTTACCTGCCCAAAGTTACAGTTTCTTGTGTCCAACCATTTTTTCTTCGTCTTCCTCCTCACTGGCCCACAGCCTTCTACACACTGACACTCACATGCAGCGTCCTCTTCCTACAGCACCTTGGTGGCTGACTGAGCTGCCTCACTCCCTGCCCTCGGTCCAGACTGGAACACCTCTGATGGGGCGGGCAGCTTCCTCTGTTTCCTGAGGTCCTGCTCTGACTGAAATAGCCCCTGTAGGGTTGGCCAACTCCCGGTAGCCCCCAGCGCCAAGGTCTGCAGGAAGGAAACTCGGCCTGGAGGAACATGGAGGTGGAGAAAAAGGCCTCCTTCCCGCAACCCTCTCCCACTCAACAAGAGAAGGGGGGTCTGGGAGTGGAAAGATGTGGGGGAGGACTAAGGACAGCTGGTCAAAGGCGAGTCCTACAGACCCACCGTCTTCCTTCTTTCCTTGCCTCGTCTAAACCTTCTCATCTGACAAATGGGTACAGTGAAGATTAAAGAGCTCTTAAGCTTTCTTTTACCTCTTTACTTTTGGAGGACTGACCTGGCCTGGACCAGGACCTATCTTTTCTAACAACACTATCTTTTCTTTCACCTTTAAAAAAGAAACTAAAGAGCTCTCGGGTCTTTAGTTGTTGTTATGTACTGCCAGGTCAGAACCAACCCGTAGCTGACCCTCCAATTGGACAATAACTAAGAATGACAGAAGAAGAATCAATGCCTTTGAGTTATGGTGCTGGAGAAGAGTATTGAACATACCATGGACAGCCAGGA